TCAAAAGCCAAGCTAAAAGTAGCACATAGATAGCTAAATGCTAAAAAGTATCAAAAGCCTAGCTAAAAAGGTAAAAAGTAGAGCAAATCATAACCAAAATATCAAAAGGCTAAAAGTAGAGGGACGATAGCTGAAAGTAGCAAAGGTCTAGCTAAAAGGTAAAGTAGCAAAAGTCAACATAAGTTTAAAAAAGCTTGGTACAAGCTAAAAAAGCAAAATGCTAACTGAATGTTAAAAGAAGCTAACAGTAGCTTAAAGCGTAAAGTAGCATAAAAAGATAAAAGAGCAAGTTCCAAGATTTTGAAAGAGAGAGATCTCAGTGTATTTATATTAGACAGAAAATGTAAATAAAGTTATTCTGTCTCCTGAATGAGCTGGACAGTTTGGTACATGAGGTACAGTATTAAGAACATGAAACATGAGCACTGATGTTTTCTTGCTGATAAAGTGTTCCCATCTTCCCCACCTTCTTCAGCACATCCATCAAGAGCCTGGCTGTATTTCTCCAAGGCGTCTCCGAACTGTCCGTGTTTGAAGAGATGGTTCCCCTCGTTCTTGAGCCGGGCCAGGTGAGGAGGCAGCGCTCCTGCTGGGGCATCCAGGTAACTTGTGTCCACCGTGGGGCTGCTCCTCTCCGCTTCGCTCTTGTCTCCCTGGGTGCCATTAGCCACCTTCTGTCCCGGATCCCTCCGGAGGTCTTCCTTGCTACTTCCACCCCTAATCCTGGTCCAGCTCCCTCCTCCGTTACCCGGGGGTTTCTCCTGCGCGTTGCCCATGGCTGCACTCCCTCCGCAGTGCGCTCAGGCTGGTCCTCCCTCTCCTCCTGCCTCAGCTGCCGCTGCCTGAATGAGGATTTCTGCTGGACACGCCCCCAGTTTGAGGTACCGGAAGTGACGAGCCGTGCGAATGAGGTGGGCGGGGCCACAGATTTGCTGCAGAGCGTCACCTCAGAGCAGTACAGGTCCTTCTCAAAAAATTAGCATATTGTGATAAAGGTCATTATTTTCCATAATGTAATGATAAAAATGAAACTTTCATATATTTCAGATTCATTGCACACCAACTGAAATATTTCAGGTCTTTAATTGTTTTAATACTGATGATTATGGCATACAGCTCATGAAAACCCAAAATGCCTGTCCCAAAAAATTAGCATATTTCATCCCACCAATGAAAGACAAGTGTTTTTAATACAAAAAACGCCAACCTTCAAATAATCATGTTCAGTTATGCACTCAATACTTGGTCTGGAATCCTTTTGCATGAATGACTGCTTCAATGCGGCGTAGCATGGAGGCAATCAGCCTGTGGCACTGCTGAGGTGTTATGGAGGCCCAGGATGCTTCGATAGCGGCCTTAAGCTCATCCAGAGTGTTGGGTCTTGCGTCTCTCGACTTTCTCTTCACAATATCCCACAGGTTCTCTATGGGGTTCAGGTCAGGAGAGTTGGCAGGCCAATTGAGCACAGTAATACCATGGTCAGTAAACCATTTACCAGTGGTTTTGGCACCGTGAGCAGGTGCCATGTTGTGCTGAAAAATGAAATCTTCATCTCCATAAAGCTTTTCAGCAGATGGAAGCATGAAGTGCTCCAAAATATCCTGATAGCTAGCTGCATTGACCCTGCGCTTGATAAAACACAGTGGACCAACACCAGCAGCTGACATGGCACCCCAGACCATCACTGACTGTGGGTGCTTCACACTGGACTTCTGGCATTTTGGCATTTCCTTCTCCCCAGTCTTCCTCCAGACTCTGGCACCTTGATTTCTGAATGACATGCAAAATTTGCTTTCATCCGAAAAAAGTACTTTGGACCACTGAGCAACAGTCCAGTGCTGCTTCGCTGTAGCCCAGGTCAGGCGCTTCTGCCGCTGTTTCTGGTTCAAAAGTGGCTTGACCTGGGGAATGCAGCACCTGTAGCCCATTTCCTGCACACGCCTGTGCACGGTGGCTCTGGATGTTTCTACCCCAGACTCAGTCCACTGCTTCCGCAGGTCCCCCAAGGTCTGGAATCGGCCCTTCTCCACAATCCTCCTCAGGGTCCGGTCACCTCTTGTCGTTGTGCAGCGTTTTCTGCCACACTTTTCTCTTCCCACAGACTTCCCACTAAGGTGCCTTGATACAGCACTCTGGGAACAGCCTATTCGTTCAGCAATTTCTTTCTGTGTCTTACCCTCTTGCTTGGGGGTGTCAATGATGGCCTTCTGGACAGCAGTCAGGTCGGCAGTCTTACCCATGATTGCGGTTTTGAGTAATGAACAAGGCTGGGAGTTTTTAAAAGCCTCAGGAATCTTTTGCAGGTGTTTAGAGTTACGTTGTTGATTCAGATGGTTAGGTTAATAGCTTGTTTAGAGAACCTTTTCATGATATGCTAATTTTTTGGGACATGAATTTTGGGTTTTCATGAGCTGTATGCCATAATCATCAGTATTAAAACAATTAAAAACCTGAAACATTTAAGTTTATGTGCAATGAATCTGAAATATATGAGTTTCATTTTTATCATTACATTATGGAAAATAATGACCTTTATCACAATATGCTAATTTTTTTAGAAGGACCTGTATGTAGTTCAGCCGAGCTTTTACATCCTTAATAACTTTTTTGGCCTTTTCAGCAACTTTTTGTTCTTATATCAGCTTTTTTTCAGTTGCAAGATTTTTAGAAATTTATTCAGCCTCTCTGCCCATTTCAGCTTATTCTTCTAATTTCTGCTCTATTCAGCTTTCTCTGCACATTTTTGTTGCCTCCTGCTTTTATTTTCCTGCTTTCAGTAAACGTCAGCTGTTCAAATTCAGCTCGCTTGTACAGTTTAGAATTAAAACCTTTTCAGCCTGATTTCAACTTCAGCAGCTTTCAGCACAATTCATTCAGCAATAAGCATGCATGTTGCATTTCATAGCAAATTCAATGTTTCTGGTTATTTTTAGAGATTCTATAGATATGGAGACTTTACAAACAGAAATATATTAGCTTTTAAAACTGATTACCTTTTCATTTACACCATGCAGGTTTTAATAAGGTCTCTGTGATAAGTGTAGACATCTGTGTCAGAAAAATCAGCACCACCATCCTGGAAAAAGCTTGTTTTCATCAGGCAGATAATCAAATTTCTGCTGGTGTCTCTGTTAGTTATCAAAATATATTATGAACTCTTGGACAAGTTTTAATGAAACGTTCAGAAGGTAATGATTAGGTAAGGATCAGTGATCCATGCATGATTTCTATTCTGTAATAGAGCTGGCATGATATTTACAAGTCGTCACCAAAATGGCTACAGCTCGGTCATCTCTCAGCATCTTAAGACGATCTTGGTCTAAAACTCTGGCAGGAGGTGCAACAGGTGATATTACTTCCAGAAATGAAAATGTTTACTATTAAAAATTGATTTTTATAACCATAATGTTAATGTTTCTGAGTAATAAGTACCAAAGCATTCTGAGAGAATCTTATTAAAAACGGAACAATAATTTCAAAACATCCGTTTAGCTCGTTAGGCAGTAGGTGTAAAGGTCTACGTATACAGCAAAATATAAAAATACTTTTTTTTTTTTACATATATTTATACTTGCTTATTTAAAATGCTTTATTCTCAGCTTTTTTAGATGACTTCTATACAGTATAGAACTTGTGTGTAAATTGTTTGGTAATCTATGGACATAGCAACATTTACGAGCAAAAAAAAGTTACTTTCAGAGACCATCATTGTTAACTAGAGCATAAAAAATATATATAATTTCACACCAATCTACACTAAAAAGAACCAGATTAGTGTTGTTAACCTAAAATGCTTGAACGAAACCACTGAACCAGGAACAGGAAAAAAAGTGCACAAGACTGGAGAAATAATGAATCAATCTTTAGTAAAACAAAGAGTATCTCTGTTGACATAAAAATGAGCAATTCTGAAAGATGAATTTTCAATGTCTGTTTATTTACATGGTCAAAGGCTACAAAAATAATAATTAAAAAACAGCTAAAGACAAAAATCTGCAGCTCTCCTCTTCATCGTGCATCAAAAACGACCACTGGGATCAAAGAGTCAAGGAAATATATGGACAGTACATCAAATTCATTCAAATGAAGTAAAAAAAAAAAACCTGTGAACTTGTACAAGAGTCCTCTCATACAATCACACACACACAAAAGGATACATCTCTTCGTTCTCTTCTTGTACATGATTCTGTAGCCACACTCTCTGCATCGGATCGGGTCACGTGCCTTAATTTCATTTTCAGTGTGACATTCTGGAAGAAAGAACAGAAACTAGTGACACATCATTCTACATGCCCTTAGCAGAGCTGTATGCACCATATAACTATAAAATTAATGCAAAATATATTAAAAAAATGGACTCAAATGATCAATTAAATGCCTTTTAAAAATAATACATTATTATCAGTACTAGTAAAATACCGTCAAACCATGGCAACGTTTTAAGACATTCACTAGAGACTTTGTTACTTTCATTTTTTTAATCACTGGTTTTGAATTATTACGGCACTTGTTCTGTTGCCCCAGACATTAACACTTATATGAAAGGACGAGCTTCATAAAACACATTACGGTAAATCCTACAGCCTGCTTTTTGTATACACAAATATTTTAAATTCTGCAAATAATAAGGTTATACCTTTCTTCCAAACCTCATCTACCAAGGGCACCAACCTCTCATCTTAAAATACAAATTATGAACACTTTTGACATCAGCATCCGTCACCTTTTGCCAAAGTGGTATTTATTAATACTAATCTACCATATACTTTTAGTTATTCGTTTGTAATTAATACCCAAAACGTTTGCGCAAGTTCACTCATTGTGGGGACCTCTGAAGGGAACAGCCAAAAGTAAAACAAGTTTTTAATTAATACCCAAATCCAAACTTATTAAACTAGACTACTGCAGAACTTTGTGTGTGTGTGTGTGTGGGGGGGGGGGGGGAATAAATAATCATGTATTGTATTCACTGTTGTCATTTTTCTTTGAATACAAGGTTTAGAAATACTTTTGCCACGGTATTTAATAAAAAGATAGTACACATAGTAAACATTCTACATTTGTATTTGAAAATAGACATATTATGAGTGTAATAAGCCCCAAGAGATACTACCATATATACAACCAAGTGGTGTTGTGTTTACAAAGAATTATTTAAAGTAACACATACTAAAAATTATATCAATAATGGTACAATGTGCTAGCCCTGATTGTTGCATTTACATTAGCAACATTTCGTCTTACCTCCACAAATGTAGATCATAGGTTGCTGCTTGGGCGGCTGCTGTATGTCTTTCTGTGCATCCATTTTATCCTATAAAAACGGAGAGGAAAGTGGTAAGACTATCAAATAAACTTCGGCTTTACATAAAATGTCATTAGCGTGTGGCGCTAACCGAAGCATGAGAGTAAATGCCGACATTAGCTTTAGCCTAGCTACCAACAAAACCGTCACTCGTATAAAACAAATCGTAATTAAACAAGGACAAACATGAAACTATAAAAAAAAGATATAAAGCACATATTTAGAATATTAAACTCACACTTTTTACTGTAATTTGTAACTAATTGATGTTATTTCCACGCTCCAGTTTTGTTTTCTGCACATGCGTACAACTTCTTCTTCTTCTTTAGAATGTAGCGACGGTTTGCGATTGCGAACAGTTCTATTGCTTTACCGCCACCTTCTGGTAGTCCTGAGCGCTGCAGCCCCCTCGTACTTAAATTCTTACATCTTTAAATATCAAACAATCATCCACTTTAAATCCCACCTTTTATATATGACAGTAACGATATTGTGAAGTCTTAAGAAGTTGAGATTACCCAAAACAACTTCTGAAAACTTAGTTGGTACTGGTGTTGTTTGGCACTCCTTCCAATAGGAGGCGATGTTGCCCCACTGAAAGCGCAAGACGCGTCCGTCATCTGACGAACTCCTCCTTCAGCTGGCCCTCCACTAGTTTTTGACAACAACGACTCTGCCGACAATGTCCACATCGTGACTATCTCTGACAAAAGCGCGCTCCCCATTTGTTTCATAGTTTGGTGTGCTTTTATTTCCAAGTTCGTGCATTATGGAGCCGTCCGCGCCCAAAAGGTTTGTGAACATCTGAGTGCCTTAAAACCTGCCTGCTAAAGGCTAATGAAGGCGGTAGCTCGTGAGCTAATGCTAAGCTAATTTAGTTCTCACAAACTTTCCGCAGACCGAAACGACAAAATAAAAGACGAGTAAACAACAAACCCCACGTTAAAAACCTTTAATGGGTTTCAGATTTATTTATAGCTAGGAAGTTTTAGACTTTTACGTCGTTATAGATAATTTCATCTGAATGCATTTAAATCATTTAGTTGTTTCAGGCTCATTTTTGAAGATGAATGACGTTTCAGTGGCTGCTTTTTAGCTACATGAAGCCATCTTTACTCGTTTTGTATAAAATAACCAGTGATTTCATATTAAAAAGTTCGTTTTTGCGAAAGACAATCCCCATCAGAGGACTTCGAGGATGAATGAAAATACCACAGAGAATCTGAAAGTGTATACTTTTTATTATAAAAGGCAAACTGTATTAATTGTACACTACTTTGCTTTACAGCAAGCTGAAAAAGCTGAGCGAGGACAGCTTAACCAAGCAGCCAGAGGAAGTGTTTGATGTTCTGGAGAAACTCGGAGAAGGGTAAAAATGTATTTCCCAGTTTAACTAACCTCCATTTTCACATCTGACTCTTGTGTAATGCATTGTTTTCTTACTTGTTTGTTAAAAATTCATTATTTGGTGTGTGTTTAGCTCATATGGCAGTGTTTTTAAAGCCATCCACAAAGAGTCTGGTCAGGTTGTGGCTATCAAGCAGGTTCCTGTGGAGTCTGATCTGCAAGAAATCATCAAGGAGATCTCCATCATGCAGCAGTGTGACAGGTGGGGAGACAGCATCACTCTCTTTAAACCATGTTTGTTGATTCAGTTAAATCTAAACCAGTATGAGGTTTTTGTTCAGCTGGCTCTGAAGGGTTATTTCTCATTCTGAGGATTGTTTTTGCTCATAGTCCTTATGTAGTAAAGTACTACGGCAGCTACTTCAAGAATACAGACCTGTGGATTGTTATGGAGTACTGTGGAGCCGGCTCTGTTTCTGACATCATAAGGCTGCGAAACAAAACGGTGCGTGCTTACTAAAAGTTTCAGTGGTGGGTGTGTTTATCTCTTTCAACCATCTTTGTGTTTTTTTATTTATTTTTTTATTTTGTGGTTTTACTCTCACCCCCAGCTGACAGAAGACGAGATTGCCACCATCTTGAAGTCAACATTGAAGGGTCTTGAATACCTTCACTTCATGAGAAAGATCCATCGTGACATCAAGGCAGGAAACATCCTTCTCAACACAGAGGGCCACGCCAAACTGGCAGACTTTGGAGTCGCAGGACAGTTAACGGTAGGACTCAGGCTAGATGTTTGCAAGAAAAGTCAATTGATATAAATGTTGTATTGAGATGTGTTCTTAAACTACAAAGAAGTTTTAGCTCGGTTCAGCCAAGTTTACAACCAAACGGAAGCAGTTGTTTCCTCTGATGTCCATAAACCAAGCTCGTTCACTAAGCTAATGATAGTAGGTGTTTTTCTTCAAAAGGACACAATGGCTAAAAGAAACACTGTGATTGGTACACCGTTCTGGATGGCCCCAGAGGTGATCCAGGAGATTGGCTACAACTGCGTAGCAGACATCTGGTCCCTGGGCATCACATCCATAGAAATGGCCGAGGGCAAACCTCCCTACGCTGACATCCATCCTATGAGGGTGAGTGTTATTAATGTGTTTTTGAAGTGAGTGCTTGAATGCAGTTGTTTGGGTAAAGGTTTGAATTTATAACAAATGTGACACTTTTATTTTTGTCTATCCTGATTTCCTACAGGCCATCTTTATGATCCCCACCAACCCTCCTCCTACGTTCAGGAAACCGGAGCTTTGGTCAGATGAATTCACAGATTTTGTCAAGAAGTGTTTGGTGAAGAACCCCGAGCAGAGAGCAACTGCCACACAGCTCCTACAGGTTGGAGCAAGAACATCTAAACGCGTCTCATACAGGCCTGGTTGAAAGGTATTTAAACACTATTCTGAAATAATATTGTTTTCCTTATGTGAAAACGCAGCATCCATTCATCAACCTTGCCAAGCCAGTCACAATCCTGAGAGATCTGATCACTGAAGCCATGGAGATGAAAGCCAAGAGACAGCAGGAGCAGCAGAGAGAGCTGGAGGAGGAGGACGACAACTCTGTAAGCACACAAGATGTCGCCTATGAATTTCCTGTAAAATGGTTCATTTGTTCATTCAACCGTTATTTAGACAGTTAAATCCCATTGAGCCTCATCTGATGGTGAGACGTTTGTTCTGCATGTGTACGTTTCATACAGGAGGAGGAGACAGAGGTGGACTCTCACACCATGGTAAAGACGGGACAGGAGGGTGCCGGGACCATGCGAGCCACCAGCACCATGAGCGACGGGGCGCAGACCATGATCGAGCACAGCACCATGCTGGAGTCTGACCTGGGCACTATGGTCATCAACAGTGATGATGAAAATGAGGAAGACGACCAAGGATCAATGAGAAGTGAGCACCCGTCTTCAATCAAAAATTTAACATTTAAAAGGTTTAACTGCAGCTAAACTGAAACCCCTTCAGATTAAATCTGTTTTCTCTGAGATAAACGTAGGACTCGTGCTTTAAAATAGTCCTAAGCTCATTTTGTAAGCTGTTCCTCAACGTTAACATGTAGCTTTCTGCGTGTTCGGCTAGCATGCACGCTACACAAAATGATTAACAGCAGTTTAACCCTGGTTGATGATGATCAACTCGAGATTTAGGTTAGCTTGAACTGAAAAAAAAACCCCAACTGGCATAGAGTTGCTTTACAAAGAGGAAGAGTAAAAATATAACCCACCGTGCACGTTTAAACACAGCTTGTGACTGCTGACACAACAAACACGCTCTCCGACACCAGTCTCTTGGGTTTTTTTTTTGTTTCGTTTTCACTTCACTATAATGCAGCTGTCTGTCTGCTGTGACCTTTTTGTTTTCCCGAGGCGAAACAAGCTAACGGTGCAAAAAAGTAGCTGACATCTGCAACCGATGATTTCATATTCAAAGTGGTTGGTGGCAGCTACATTTAGATGCACGTCTGTAAATTTGTGCATATTAACACACGATCAAGCTGAACTTGGCACTTTAAGTTGGTTTGTTTTAATCAGACATTAATTCGAAGGATTTCCTTTAAAACAAGAATAATTAAGTTATAATATTTATTCGATTGTCTTCATAGCTTAAAATAAATTAATTTCTGAAGGAGCCATTTTGCGCTGATATAAATCCTATCTTTATCCTCCACAGCATCATCTGATAAACAGCATTTCATAATAGTTTGAGCAACTTTACTATGATTTTGTTAGTGTTTCTGTGTAGTATGATCACTTTGAAATAAAAAAGAAAGCAACAGAATGCATCAAATGTGCTGGTTGCTTTTTCTGTTCTTTTGGAAGTGGCATGGCAGGCAGAGGCTCACTTTATTCATTCAACCTTTATTTAGACAGGTTAATCCCATTGAGCCCCGAGGACTCATTTACAAGAGAAACCTGATTTCAACAAAGAATAATGACAACAATGGACAACAGCGACAACAATAAATGGTTATAAAAAGTCATACAAATTATTATTATTTTTTTACAAATACTTTAAATTTAGACACTTTGAGACGCTCAAACTGCGCTGACAAATTGAACAAGGAAGTATGGTTCGAGTGCTTTTTTAGCAAATACTCAAACAAACGTGTGTTTCTTCCAGCCAAAGTGCACGCAAACAGAGCATAAAGGCTTAAGCGTCAAAATGCTTACAGAAAAATACTTTTTTAAAATATAAAATAATCAAAGGCATAAAATAACTTGGGATTAAACAAAAATTGCATGTCATTCAATCTAAATACCTAAATTTGAAAATGCTAAATTACATTCTTAAAACAACAGGAATGATGAAGGTTAGTGATCAGCATGTGGAATGAAGCTGTTCATTCTTCTTACTCTTTTTTATGATAACGTCAAATTAAATACTTTGTATGACAGATCACTATCAAACAGCACGACTGCTTAGTGGTTAGCATTGTTGACTCACAGCAAGAAGGTCCTGGGTTCAATCCCCAGTTTGTACTGGTTTGTACTGAGGTGCTGGCAGACATCTTTAACACCTCACTTACCCTGGAGACAGTTCCCACCTGCCTGAAGACTGCCACCATCATCCCAGTCCCAAAAAGCTCTACAGTGACTGGTCTGAATGACTATCGGCCAGTGGCCCTCACCCCGATAGTCGCTAAATGCTTCGAAAAACTGGTCATGACTCGCATCAAAACAACCATCGACATCAACGAGGACCCTCATCAGTACGCATACCGTGAGAACCGATCAACAGAGGATGCAATCTCCTCTGTGGTCCACACTGCACTCAACCACCTGGAGCAGAAAAACTCTTACGTCCGTATGCTCTTTGTGGACTTCACATCCGCCTTCAACACCATGATCCCCCAAACCCTGATGGACAAACTATCCACACTAGGACTAAGCCCCTCCATCTGCAACTGGGTACTAGACTTTTTAACAAACAGACCACAGTTAGTGAGGATCCACAACCTCTCGTCCTCCACCATAACCCTCAGCACTGGCTCTCCTCAGGGATGTGTGTTGAGCCCCCTTCTGTTTACTCTGCTCACATATGATTGTGCAGCTACCCATCCAGGCTGTCACACATTGTAAAGTTTGCAGATGATACAGCGGTGGTGGGATGCATCACAAACAATGATGAGTCCAGCTACAGGCAAGAGGTGGAACACCTGGAGAGCTGGTGCAGAGAGAATAACCTTCACATCAATGTGAAGAAGACAAAGGAGATGATTGTGGACTTCAGAAGGAACAAAAACACCTACACCCCCCTGAACATAAGAGGATCTGCGGTGGAAGTGGTCTCCAGCTACAAGTACTTGGGTGTACACATGAATGACAACCTCAGCTGGAGCAACAACACCACCAGCCTGATCAAGAAAGCTCATCAGAGACTCTACTTCCTCAGACGGCTGAGGCGAGCTGGTCTGGGAAGCTCAGTCCTCACCTCCTTCTACAGGTGTGCAGTGGAGAGCATCCTGTGCTCGAGCATCAATGTGTGGCATGGAGGCTGCACAGCTGCAGAAAGAAAAGCTTTACAGAGAGTGGTGAAGGCTGCACAGAAATCTGTTGGAATCAGTCTCCCCACCATCACAGACATCTACACCTCCAGATGCAGGAAGAGGGCCACCTGCATCATGAAGGACCCCACCCACCCAGCACACACACTTTTTGCCCCACTCCCCTCAGGAAGGAGGTTAAGGAGCATTAAGTGTAGAACCACTAGACTGAGGAACAGCTTCTACCCTGAGGCTGTTAGACTCATGAATCTCTAACTAGAATAATCACTGTGAAAAACCATATCATGTTGCTGCTGATCTGTTTCATGTTGCTGCTGATCTGTTTCATGTTGCTGCTGATCTGTTTCAATGTTGATGTGTTCATGCGTGCACATCTGCTCACAGACTCATGTTCATGTTTGTGCTGATGTTCAATGTTTTATGTTATGAGTGCTTAGTGTATATTTAGTTGATGTTTTTCTTAGTTCATATCTTAGATGTTATTACTGTTTTTCTTATACATTTTATTGTTGGATGTAACTGGGACCCTGTGTACATAATTTCGCTCCACCACATGTACCACATGAGGTGCGAATGACAATAAAGAAACTCTGACTCTCTGACTCTTTTGTGGGGTTTGCATGTCCTCATGAAGTTTTTTTGGGGTACTCTGGTTTCCTTCCACTGTCCAAAAACATGCGTGTTTGGCTGGAACTTACCCTAAAGGAAAATAATAATAAAGCTAGAAAAATGCCAGCACTTCTGCTAAAAATTAAAAAACTGTGTGTGAGGTAAGATGTGACATTAGTGCCTCTTCCTCCTTCGCAGGGCACGCCACCTCCCAGCAGCCTATCCGTCCGTCCTTCATGGATTATTTTGATAAGCAGGACTCCAACAAGGCGGCCCAGCAGCAGGAGAACTACAACCACAACCAGCCGAAGGAGCAGCCCGGCTACCACATCCAGTCTAAAAATGTCTTCCCTGACAACTGGAAGGTTCCTCAAGACGGAGACTTTGACTTTGTGAGTGTCCGAGTGGAAACTTTAGGCAGGAGCAGTGTGCTTCGCGTTGAGTCATCACTCTGGTTCTTGTTTGTGTTTCCTCTCAGTTGAAGAATCTGGACTTTGAGGAGCTGCAGTTGCGCCTGAGCGCCTTGGATCCGATGATGGAGCGGGAGATCGAGGAGCTCAGGCAGCGCTACACTGCCAAAAGGCAGCCCATCCTGGACGCAATGGATGCCAAGAAGAGGCGACAACAGAACTTCTAGGTGTTGCTCCCATCAGCACCGCTCCTGTTTTAGGTCTCCACAACCAGCATGGAACGTAACGTCCCAGAGACTGAAGGGAGAATAAAAAGACCGCCATATTGTTGCTAATGGAAGCCCCGTACTGTCCCAACTACTCGCTGATCTCTGAATGAAGTTACACGCTTTCTTTCCTGGGTGGTGTTTGTTCAGCTCCAGGATGTTTATTTTTCCTTCCTCTTCAAGTTAATTTCTAATGAGCGCTTCTCAGATTGTGGCCAAAAGGAGAAGCAGCTCAGTGGTCATTAGACGACTGAAAGTATCACAAAGAGTTTCCTGTTTTCTCAGCGAGGCGTCGCGTCTTGCCGTGCGCACGCTGGGAGTTGACATCAGCACGTGAGGAAGTCGATCCTCCAGCAGATCCAGCTGCAAAAACGCAGCAGATTTATTGAAGTGAACTCTTTTTTTTTTTTTTTTTTTCTCCTTTAAGATTGTTTTCTTTAAATGTAAATATATTACAGAGCCTAGTTTGGAAATAACCTGTGGAGGTTCATCCATGACCAAAGACAATCAAAATGATGTTGAGAATGCCTTAAAATCTTTGAAGCCTAGTTTTCAAAATAAGCAATGTAAAAAAAAAAAAATAAACCAACCAAGACACCGGAGGTGTTTTTTCCACACTTGAGGAGGAGGTAAAGGAGAAATATCAAATCTGGGAATGTGGAGTGGTAAAGAGCAGCTCGTGTTTTCACCTTTCTGATCTTTTATTTTCCACACACAGATCTTACATGCACATCTCAAAAATTAAAATATGAAAAAGTTCCTTTATTTGTCAATGATTTTAGAAAGTGAAACTCCTCTTTCACAAGCTTTATGGAGATGCTGATTTCATTTTCCAGCAGGACTCTTGCTCCTGCTCACACTGACAAAAGTACCGAAAGCTGGCTGTGGAATATTCTACTTTTATAAGATTTGAACTTTGTTTTTTCATTGTTTGTAAGACTTAATCATCAAAATTACAAGAAATATAGGCTTGAAATATTTCTCTAATGAATATATGTAATAAATGAGTTTCACCTTCTGAGATGATCCCAAAAAATTGAACTTTTTCTCGTTCTAATGTTTTGAGATGCTCCTGTAGAGCCTCTCCGGGTCACGTTCACCCGCTTCTTTTCATGCATTAAAAGGTTTGAGCCCAGTGGTCCAGAAGTTTTGGATTTAACTTTAAAGGGATTGCACAGAGTTGTATTACCAAAAAAAAAAGAAAGAAATCTTTATCTCTGCATGATTGTATTCAAAAATTATCCAACAACTGAAGGAAAAAAAAATCAGTTCTTTGTTGCTCTAATTTATGATTGACACTGTTTTGAACAAAAAGCAGAGACTCAGAGAACAGTTGGGTTTACGTTATATATATAACAGTTTTATTTGGTGATGAAAAGAGATGATGCAATATGAAATCTGCATCAGCTGCACGTATAACTTAATGACAGGCCTAAATTATTATTTTTGCTGCATTAAAAAAAAAATTTGTTTCCCTTCAGCTTGTAGTTTTCAGCAATAACATGACAATTATTTGTAGTCCTCAACATTTTGCATTTTGATATTAAAGCAATGAAGGTGTACTGCTTTATTAAAGAACTGCCTCTATCGGCACATGCAACGATCAGGAAATGAAAAATGCAGTGGCTGTGGATTGTTTTTTGCTTTTTTTGCAAGGAAATTGTTCAAAAACTGTACAAACCTTTATGTTAGGGACCACTGAAATGTTATTTACTGTAAAATGCATAGAAATGTCACCGATTTCACAATATTAAAGAGGAATTATTTTTTTCTAATCATGAAACATCAAAACTACAGATCTGTATGGTTAGTTCAAAACTATAGCTGTTAACTTATTAGACACTGCTGTGGCTTCACTTTAGTGTTTATTTGTGTTAATTATCTGAATGATTTAATCCCTGTCTTAATATCAAGCTCTTACAGTTTGTATGCAGGTTTTTATTATATATAAGAATACTTTTGTTTTTAATAAACAGACTTGTTATAATATCTGGGGGGTTTTTCTGAAGGAGAGTGAAGTTAAGTAGATCATATCTGGTTTTATTTTTACATATTAACATAACCAGAACCTCAGGCAGGATTATTATCATTATTATGCTGTTTAATACAGTTTTTGCTTATTCTTTTAGTGACACTAAATATTGTGGCTGTTGGCACTTGTTGCTGAACAGATCTGTTGATTTCTCTCTTTAGACTATGCATGGTTTCTTTTTAGTGTAATGCTGTTCTAGTACCTGCACAGAAAATAAAACTATTCATATAGGAAATTGATTTTGTTTTGCTTTTAATTAAAAAAAAAACTTCGTAAATCCAAATAAGAAATTGTACAGCTTTTTGTTACTTCATGTGCACATTTGACTTTTTTCCACATTATAGCAGCTTGGGATGTAAAGTGGAATGTAAACATTAAAATGTTTATTATGTATTTGTATGACGTGTAATAAATAGTAAAAATAATGGTAATACTTTACAATAAGGTACAAAAAAATTGCATAAATGCAAGAGAACGCCTAAGGAACGAATCAGGAACAAATCAGGAGCTAATGGGTAGTTAACCAGTACTTACTGGGGAACACACAGCCAAGCCTTATTATAGGGGAGTACTGGTTTGTTACCACAGAAACAGGAGAAATTCTCCATGCGGGTTCTGAACAGCCTTTGTTCTTCCTTTGCTGAAGGGAGGTGACCTCACTGAACAACTATCGACCAATCTCTAAACTCTGCATTTTAGCCAAGGTTTTAGAAAAACTGATAAACTCTCAAATCAAAAATTACCTGGACTCATTTAACATCTTACCTCTCCATCAATCTGGTTTCAGGAAACAACACAGCACAACCACTGCTTCACTGAAGGTTCTTAATGACGTCGTTGAAGCACTGGATGCTAAGGATTATTGTGCTGCACTTTTCTTAGACCTGTCTAAAGCTTTTGATACTGTGGATCATAACATCTTGTGTCATAAACTCTCAGAAATCGGTTTCTCAGAACACACCATTGGTTGGTTCTCTAACTATCTCTCAGACCAGAGGCAATGTGTTCAACATAATGGTACTTCCTCCAGTTATTTAACAGTCAACAATGGTGTACCACAAGGCTCAGTCTTAGGACCCACCCTTTTTACAATCTACATAGGTAATGTAGGTCAGAGTATCATTGACACATCCTTACATTTCTATGCTGATGACACAGTTATTTATTGTTGAGCTAAAACAGTTGAAAAGGCTTTCCAGCTTTTTCAATCTGCATTTAACATCATCCAGTCTGATTTGTTCCACCTCAAACTTGTCTTAAACGCTGATAAAACCAAAAAGATGCTTTTTTTCAAACAGGAAGTCGATCCCAGCAGTTCTTCCTCTGATTTTATCCTCAAATGGTGTCCCCATTGAGTTTGTTGATTCCTATAAAAACTTGGGTATCTTGGTCGACTCGCATCTCTTTTTTAAGCTCCACGTGGAAAACCTAGTAAAGAAATTGAAAGTTAAACTGGGTTTCTTTTTCAGAAACAGATCCTGTCTAACCCTGAATGCTAGGAAACGCCTTGTAACTGTGACTTTCCTTCCCTGATTACGGTGACATTATTTACATGAACGCTCCCACAAGAACCCTGCAGATGTTGGATGCTGTCTATCATGGTGCACTAAGATTCATAACTGGCTGTGATTATCGTACCCACCACTGCACCCTGTATTCACTGGTTAACTGGACATCATTAACTTCACACAGACTCTCTCACTGGTACATTTTCATCTTTAAATCACTTCTTGGTCTGCTGCCTTCATACATCTCCTCCTACATGTCTCTGCGTGAGTGCAGCTACAGCGTGCGCTCTCAGGACATTATTACCTGCAGTGTTCCCTCAGTGACTGAACTAGGCAAAAGGGCCTTCTCCTACTCCGCTCCTGTTTCTTGGAATATCTTACACAAAGATATGAAGCTCTCGACCTTGACCTCTCTGTGGCTTTAAGAATCTGTTGGACTCCTGGCAGGGACCAATGCAGACATGTTCCTGTTTTTAGTTTTCTACATTCACCTTATAATCTAGCTGTTTTCGCTACTTTTTTTTGCCATCTTATTTGTAAAAAAATAAAATCTGTATGCCTTTTTATAATTGTCTATTGTTGTCGCTGTTGTTCATTGTTGTCATCATGTTGAAATCAGGTCTCTCTTGTAAATGAGTCCTCGAGGCTCAATGGGATTAACTTGTCTAAATAAAGGTTGAATGAATGAATAACTGTGCACCAGTGAGTTCACAGCAAAAACCTGTTTCCTAGTGATTACTGGCTTTATTGGATTTTCTCTTTTGTAAACCTATTGATGAAATACATTATCAGTTTCATAATCTTGTACTGCTGTCATAACTATGTCTGACCATCACTTGCTGAGTACCAAATCATTGCCTGGCTGTTATTTTGTTCACTGATGTAGTGAAGCATCATACCAAACACTTACTGAGGAACTAATCATTAATTACTACCTAACCATTACCTACTGGTTTGTTCCTGTGTTAGACCAGTAGTCCCCTAATAAGTCTTGGCTTTGTGTATTAACAGTACTAAGCAAAGACATTATGAATACAGTTAAAATAAAATCTGATTGTATTATTCAAATACATTATAAATACAATTAAAATAAAATTGAAATTTATTATTCAAGCATAAAATTAGTACATACCAAGTACAATATAATGTCTTAAAAAAGTGCCACTTAAGTACAACTTAAGTTGTTCAAAAAACAGAGATTTAGAATGTATTTTCTAAAAACTTCGCAAATACATTTAATATATTAAATATCAGTATACGTAAGTATATTTCATTTTCACCTGGGTTCCCCACCCGTTAGCTCCTGATTTGTTCCCTAGTAGTAATTAATTTTTGTGTACCTTATTGTAAAGTGTTACCAAAATAATTATAGTTCATCGTAGCTTTAGGATGACTTTTTATCTTATCCGACTTTATAAACGGAGCTTTGAACTTTAGCAATAAACTCAATTTTACCGTAACCGTTAAAAAGTGTGCGCATTTATTTTTCCTTCGCCGTTTGTGACAATTAGTGATAGTTCTTGTTGCGCTCTTAGGCGCATCTTTACGGTAATTATACAGCCACGCGCGTTTCTAAAAAAAAAAAAAAAAAAGTTGTTACGAAGCCATTTTTCCCCAACTTCTTCTCGGGGGAATTAGAAGGAAAAAGCGTAAACTAAACATGTCTATTGTTCACAAGAAGGTTATTAACACCACATCAGCTCCGGCCGCCATCGGTCCGTACAGGTGAGACTAATTTAAAACGTTTTTCTCTTTGTTTTTAGCAATGTTGCGTTCAGGGAACAAGGGATAAAAATAGGACAGCCCGATGTTTGACCAGGGGTGGATCCTGGCGTTCATTGAACTCACCTTGATCACATGAAACAGCGACAAATTGGACTTTTTCTTTGGAGAGCAGAGGAAACGCTGCAAATCAGAAATCTGTTCAGCAACAGTGAGGTAAAAAAAAATGGCATCAATTCTTCGCCAAATAATTTACACACCGAAAGCTCCTGTAAGACAGGGGATTTACAGGTAAGGCCTTGTCTGAACATCAATATGACTTAAAAGCAATCTGAAAATGCAGTTTGATTTAAAAACACAAATTATTAAAAACTGTTAAATAACTAACCAAATGTTTAACTCGGTGCACTTGCATGAACTGAAGTGGGTTCCTGCTCTGACCAATCAGCTGTCAGTGGGCGGAGCTAATTTGTTTTGAAAGGACTTTTGCCCCTGTCAGTTTCAATTATGTCATTATCTTCATCCAGAAACATCTATTCATCTTTTTTTGGAAATGTACATACTCACAGAACTTTTGGAAATACATTGCTGCTCTGATATCCAATAATATCCAACCAAGTTTCCTTCTCTATTTGGAAAATTTGGTATCCTAGATTTCAAGACGAAAGACTCCTGACACGTATTTATTATCAATCTGATCTTGTTTCTTGCCAAGTTCCATATCCATAAAAGTAAAATAATGCATAGGAAACCGTTTTTTTTTTACCTCTTTGTAATGGATGTACTTTATCTTCTCAGACTCAAATAACAAAAAGACTATAAAAACAACAACAAAAATATCTGAAATGACTACAATTTAACTTTGTAACCCACATTTATTTATTTCTGTACTTTATTATTATTATTATTATTATTATTATTATTATTATTATTATTATTAATAATAATACATTTTATTTGTAGGTGCCTTTCTTGGCACTCAAGGTCACCTTACATAAAAACAGACACAATATTACACACATAGTAAAATCGAATTAAAATAAGACAATGCAGTTGCAATCACAGTGCGTAGGCTACATTAACCAGATGAGTTTTGAGTTTGGATTTGAAATGTGGCAATGAGTCTGTGTTGCGAATGTCAGGTGGGAGTGAGTTCCAGAGCTGGGGAGCAGAGCAGCTGAATCCTCTGCTCCCCATAGTAACAAAACGGGCAAGGGGAACAATGAGCTGAATAGAAGAAGAGGATCTGAGGGTACGAGCGGGTGAGCAATGTGAACAAGGTCTGAAAGGTATGGAGGAGCGAGGTTGTGGACAGCTTTGAAGGTAAGGAGGAGTATTTTGTAGTTGATGTGATATGGGATGGGAAGCCATTGAAGCTGTTGTAAAACAGGTGTGATGTGATTGATTGAGGGGGTCCGTGTAATGATACGGGCAGCTGAATTTAGGACCATTTGTAATTTATGGAGGGTTTTCTGTGGTAGGCCAAAAAGAAGAGAATTGCAATAATCTAAATAAGAGGTGACCAGACTGTGGACCAGAACAGCAGTGGAGTGAGGAGTGAGGGAAGGACAGAGACGATTAATATTTCGAAGATGAAAGTAGGAATATCACCGAGTGATATTACTGACATGAGAGGAAAAGGAGAGGGTGCTATCAAGGATGACACCCAGACTCTTAACCTGATGGGAGGGAGAGATGGAAGAGTTATCAACTGGAATGGAGAAGCTATGAAGTTTATTTAGTATTGATTTAGTGCCAGTTAAAATAAGTTCTGTTTTATTGCCATTTAGTTTAAGAAAGTTTAAAGTGAACCAGTGTTTTATTACAAGGAGACAATCAGTGAGGGACGAGGGTGGAAGTGTAGAGTTAGGTTTGGTTGAGAGATGGAGTTGGGTGTCATCCGCGTAGCAGTGAAACTGAATATGAAGTTTGCGAAAAATGTAACCAAGGGGGAGAAGGTAAATGGTAAACAACAAGGGTCCCAGGACAGAGCCCTGGGGAACACCTGAGGTAACAGGAACAGGATGCGACATGGATGATTTTTAACTGAACAAACTGAGTGTGTTATTGTTTACTTCATTTTTCTACTCTTTCTTTGATATGTTCAATGTTTTTCAAAGTGTGTTTTGTCGCCTTCAGCCAGGCGGTGGTGGTGAATGGGACCATGTACATCTCTGGTCAGCTGGGGATGGACGTGGCCTCTGGTCAACTGGTGGACGGAGGAGTGCAGGCACAGGCCAGACAGGTGAAACTCAGAGGCACTCTTTGAAATCTTTAAGTTGCTGCTATAAACATGGTGCACGTCTGTGAGACACAGCTCTAATGGTGAATTCCTGCAATAATTCAATGACGTGAGGAACGGGAACAATAAATCATTAGGAGCAGTCGTTAACATTTTTCATTATGCATACATTTTATCAAGACTAAAGTAAAAATATAAATATTTATTCACTTGATCCTTAACTAAAAATTAAAACAAATCAACATACATATCTAAACACCGATCGACTTTTCTTTTTTTTTGTTTTTCCTCCAGGCTCTGGTCAATATGGGGGAAATCCTTAAAGCTGCTGGCTGTGACTATAACAACGGTGAGATTTCACCACTTCGGACCGTTCAGCTGCTTAATTTTTGCTCACATCTGTTGTTGTATGTTTTAAACATTTAAACCTTTTTCATTTTTAGTGGTGAAGACCACCGTGCTGCTCAAAGACATAAACGACTTCACCAGCGTCAACGACGTCTACAAGACATGTGAGTTCTTCTTTTTTATTCATCTTTCCACCTAAAACTATGATGTGACCTCGACTAAGTGAGTTTATAGGAACAATTATTAAACATGTATATCCACTATTTTTTACTTCCAGAAAGCCAGTAGAAGTTGTAAAACTTCCATTGTGAAACTAACAAATTAATTTAGAAGAATAAATTTTGTTATAATTATGTTCCCTTTTAAAGAAATTATTTTGTTAAGACAAAATGTCAGTAAAACACAATGATGTCAAAACTATTCAACGCTCATATTCTGTTTTTGAAAAACAATAATTTGAACTTTTTATCATTTAAATGGCAAGTCTTTTAACCAGGTGCATGTTACGTTTATATTTATTTTTGCATTATTCTTTCAAAATTCTTTCAGTTTTTGTTCTTTTCTTGTTTTTTCTAACATTTTACAACAATTTTTAATTTAAAAATCGGCATATTTCTACAACAACAAAAAAAAAGCCAAAAATCTTAAAGGTTATATTCTTCTTATTTCACCTTTTTAACTATTATATTTTAATTGTTGGCATGTTTTTGCTCTTTTTGATTTACATTTATCTTGAAGCTCTGACTTTGAAAAAAATTATAGTTGTGCATGAAAAAGAGCCACATGGAGGCAGCGTTGACCCTAAATAGCACTGATATTAAACAATAGCAGCACTTTTCATTTATTTTATTTATATTTTCTGTTGTGTTCTAGATTAAAATGAAAATAAAAAATAGTAGCTACCATTTCTTTGTTTGTTGTCTTCTAAGTGACATTTCAGAATTGATTAAGTAAAATAATGTTGCGAGCGTATCAGAGGGACAGCTCAGGTTGAGCAATATGGAGACAAAGTTTGGACGTGTGCAGTGGAGGGACAGTGGGTAAACGGGACAAAGGGTGTTAAATATGGAGCTGATGGGGAGGAAGAGGAGGAGACGGGTGAGGATAAGACAGATGAAGATAACCCGCTGTGGCAACACCTAAAGGGAGCAGTCAGAAAAAGAAGAGGATTAAAATTAAATCCCTAATGTCACATATCTATCAGGATGTCCTTGGTGCACTTTCTGTCTGCCTGTATTATGTGCTGAAATAAAAATAAAACAAAAATGGCAGATTTATTTTTTAAAGCATCAGTCAAAACAACTTTTAGCAGATATGACCTGAGAAATGAAATATTCCCGCGCTGAGTGTGTTCACCTCTTTATGTTCTGTGCAGACACAGATTAACGTGCTTGTACCCTCACAGCTCATTTCAACAAGGCTTTATTTTTGTAGAATTTTACAAAGTTATGATCAAATGGTGCAAACAACTTTGTTTGTTTTGTAGAGATTATCAATCTTTGCATCACAGTCATGTTTCAAACTGTTGAACATTTATTAGTATCAGGCACCTTCAAGCTTTTCGTCACCGTTCGGCCAGTTTAGAAGTGGTTTGGTATCGTCTGCAGTGCACTGAACATGAAGCAGGTGAGAGCTGTCTGTGAAGCTCACAAGAAGATTTTAGATCTCACTATTAAAGGTGAAGGTTACAAGAGCATCTCCAAGCAGCTAGATATTCGTCTGACAGCTGTCAATCATATTTAGTCGTATGAGGTTCGTGGGACTGTAGTCGACCTCTCAAGACGAGGACGCAAAAGGAAACGCAACCTCGGGTTTATTAGACAGCAGAAAAAGAGCCAAAGGACTTCAAGCTGGACTCCAAGGTTCTGATGGCACCATCGGTCACATTTTATATCTGAAAGAAGAACCTGGAAAATTCCACTGGTGATAGAAAACCACAAAAAAGCCAGACAAAGAATATGTTGACATGTTGACAAGTCCCACGAGGCAAAACTGGAGCGGTTTGGCTTCAATCACATCAGCTTTTTAGATTATTGTGGAAGGGTACCGATAAATTTATCCACGTCTGTACATGAAAAATTAAGCTGATATATGAGGAAGTGCATTTAATGTCTCTTAAAGTTTAAATCAAGCATCAAACTTGTGCATCTATTATCCCATATGGGTCAACTGGATGCCAGACAGTCTCATTCATCTCTCCCTCTGCTGCATGGGTTTGGGCTTTTCCTCCTGGATCACAACAGTCCGGGGTAATGGAAGCTGCAGTGTCCAGTGCTGTAAGTGGACACCGCTGCACAGACACACATTGTAACCCAAGCTCTCCCAGCGCTGAGGGCGATGACTCCACCGACAAGCTCCTGCCTCCCTCCAGATGCTCCTGAAACTTAAATACCAGGAAACTTTCCCTGAATCTTCAGGGGAAAGTGATTTCAGACGCCTCACTATTAGCGTGATGTTTAAATTAAAGTTTAATTCTGTGAGAAAGCTGTCTTTACTTTTTAAATGCACATTTTATTTTTAAAAATGCATCTTTATCTCTAAAATAAATCGTCAGTGACCATATCTGTTATTGTTTTGTTCTCTTCAAGCTCGTAAAACTGATGCATTTATATTGTTTTTGTAAGCTTTTGGGAATAAAAATGGTTTTCCTTCAGTTTTCAGCAGCAACTTTCCTGCCAGAGCTGCCTACCAGGTCGCTGCTCTCCCCAGAGTAAGTGTGAACAAACCACCAGCAGCTGTCTGTGGTGTATTCTTATATAAACTGGGTACTTCATTACACGCACAGTGGTGAAATAAATAAGAGCTCGGCGCTAACCTGATCAACATATAAGAGCGGCCTAAATGTTAATCTCAGGTTAAAATAAGTTTAGTCAGGGTTACTAGTTTTAGTTGAGATACACACTCAAAAAAAGTTAAATCAACTTAAAAAATAGAGCTTAGTTTGATTAATTTTAGAGGAAACTGCTTGAATAAATCTATATTCAGTAATTCTCCGATGACTTTACATTTATTCTGCATAATTTAAACACTTCAGTGACATAAATATAACCTTATTGTCTAACAAAGTTTTGTTGTTTTACTTGAGAACAAATCAAGCTGAAACAAAACCTATTGTATTAAAACCTGCCAAAGAGTATGAATTAAAATTATATTCTAATGATTAAAATAGTAAATACAAGTAATATGATAATTGGATTTAAATACGAAATAGCGCAACTAGCGCAGTGGTGCTGAACAAGTTTTGTTGCTTAAATAGGAAAAAAAAAAAGTTTCATTGTGTGAAAAGTATTAGAAACTTTTAGCCTTGACCGTTTTATTTACTTTAAACCAAGTAGGATAAATAATTTAACAAACATTTGCGAGAAGTATACATCACTGCGGTTACATTAAATTTGTGTAAGTCAGTGTAGTTTTAACAGATAAAATATCTTTTTTTGTGGTAATTATTGGATAATCTTGCTTCACCCTCCTGTTTTTTTGTTCTTCGTCTTTCCTTAGGGCGGGCTGGTGGAGATCGAGGCGGTCGCTGTTCTCGGTCCGCTCTCCGACTCCTGACTAGCCGAGCTCATCCCAAACAAGTTGTAGCGTAACACCATCATGTCGTTGTTCTCAGTCCTGCGAAGGCGTCGTTGCGTTTCTGACCGGCTGCACTTCTGAACAAGACGTAGAGACTCGTATGATTTAAACCTTCAACGCAGCATTTGTGATTATACATATTGTTTAAAACTGTAAGTGAGGTGTGATCAAGTATGATTGTCACTAACATTTCCCTGATTTTCTGGTTTGATCACGTCATTTTTGTAGTTTTTTTTTTTAAATAAATGATTTATATATATAACTAACTAATAAACCAATTATTTACACCTTTCAGTCATGTCGTGTTCATTCAAAGAAAAATAAACATTTTTTAAGGCTGTCTTTATTTTTTCACAGTTTAAAGCTCATCATTACACATTTTAAGGTTTTGTCTTCATGACACATGAGAATCCTTATTAAAGGGATGATTCAGATCATTTGAAGGGAGGTTTTGTGGAACAAATCAAATTCAGTCATGTAACCAAGTTTTTATTATCTCCTTGCATTTGTTTATATATACATTTTGGTGTTTGGCTGCATTTAGGTCCATAAGAAAGAAAGGTAAATGTAAGAAAGGTCACTATCAAACAATTGCCACGTCAAAATCTAAGATGGCTGCCATCATATATGTAAACCTTGTGAGCTGGATAACTTCAAAAATAAGCAACATGCCCATTTTCATTTTGGTGTGAAGCTGAATTTAGGCATAAGAAAAGTCACTTTCAAAAACTGTGTTGCCAAATCAAAATCCAAGATGGCCACCGCCATATACGTATATGGTGTATATAAGTAAACCAGCCACCCCTATCATTTAAAGAAACTAAGCTTTCTAGTTTTTATATTAAAAGCTTTCCTCAAATGAATGGATTAGCCAATATTAATCTATGTTGGCCAAGGCCACCATTGGCCACCCCCTGGCTCCGCCTTTGCACCTGGTCGTGGATCAAATTGCTCTCTCCACTCATCAGGATCTGTCAAAAACAAACCCGCCTGTATTCTTATACACAGTGTAACTCCTACCCACTTGAATATTTTGCACCAAAAACATTAAGGTTTACTTGCATTCCCTGTTCAATTCCAGTCCAGAAAAACACTTATTTTGAAAACCATACAGATTTACTGTTCAAACCCTGAGCAACGGGGGAAAAATGTCAAACTTCCCTTTAATCAAAAGGGCGCTTCAGTTTTAAGAATTTAAACAGCATTTGTTGTTCATCAGCCCAAATAAGACTTTAATGCTCAGAAGCTGAGTAACAGTGAACCCTTTTGTTTGTTGACCTTTGAAAGCTACATTTTCTTTGGCGTTCATCCATTTTTATGTTTTTTTTTTTTTGGTCAAAATCAAACCACAATAAATATGTTTTTTTTTTTTCAAACGGTGGTCGTTCACATTAGTTGTTCATAACTTGTTCAATGAATCCCTCTTCAAATGATCCCAACTATCACTTTAAACCCCCTTCAGTAGCTTCATAAATACAAATAAAACCATAGTTAGCGACCCAAACACAATAATTAAAATGGTTATATAATCTCTGGATTTCAATTTGGTTGTAGAAAAATACATTCTTACAGTTAAAGTTGTGTGTGGAACTATAACAATATTTCTATATTGATAATAAATACAGATTTCTAAGTTTTTCTCCAAACGACTGCCCTCCTTTTACTGTTTTACAGCAGAATCTGCAGCCGTACACCATCAGGAATGGGGAGGGGAATAAAAGGCACCGTGGTGATAAGGACCCTGACTTGAAGGTGGTCTTCACAGGGTCAGCATCTTGGCAACAAGGTGATATCTTTCAGACACACTCACACACAGACGCACTTCCACTCATTCACAAAGACAGGGTGCGACTCTTCCAGCAAATCTGGCTGGTCGCGTGTGTCACGGTTCACTCGCTGGGAGCTGGAAACACAAAGAGGAAAAAGAATAAAAGGTTATATGCATTTTTATTTTTTTATTTTGTGGTTGGTGTGATGTTGAAATGCAGCTGTGCTTACCTGGTGTCTCCTCTGCTTTGGTCTCTGAATCAGTCACTGGACAGGAAAACAAAGAGCGACAAGTTTTATTTACTGTGAGTTCATGACACAGCTGAAGGTTTAGGGTAAATTAAAGCAAGTTTGTTATTTGAAGTTTGAACATTTTGTTCTCTGCAAGACTCAACAAATGTTATGTTTATAACTTTAGAGGTGTGAAATATTTGTCTGATATATTCCAGTTTGGGGCAGCACGGTGGCGCAATTGGTAGAGCTGCTGCCTCTCAGCGAGCAGGTCCTTGGTTCAAACCCCGGTCCAGGGGCCTTCTGGGTGGAGTTTGCATGTTCTCTCCGTGCATGCGTGGGTTTTCTCCGGGTGCTCCGGTTTCCTCCCACAGACCAAAAACATGCATGTTAGGCTGATTGGTAACTCTAAATTGTCCCTAGGTGTGAGTGAGAGAGTGAATGGTTGTTTGTCTCGTTTGTCTCTATGTGGCCCTGTGATGGACTTGCGACCCGTCCAGGGTGTACCCCGCCCCTCGCACAGTGATTGCTGGACATGGGCACCAGCGACCCCCGTGACCCAAAATGGAATAAGCGGGTAAAGATAATAGATGGATGGATGGATATTCCAGTTTGTTCATCTTAAAAACAAGTTTTCTTCTTGCACCAGATGGAGTTCCTCAGGGTTCAGTGTTTGGAACAATACATTTTACATTACATATGCTTCCACTAGGTAAAGCTTTTAGACATCACAGGATATGTTTTTATTATGCTTGTATTTATCCATGAAATCTGATGAATCCAATTAGTGACTGAGATTAAAAGCATGTCTTAGAGACATACAAAACATGAATGACTCTTAATTTTCTGCTTTTAAACTCAGACAGGACAGAGGTTGTGGTTTTAGGACCTAAGTATCTTCAAAACACATGTTGAAGTCACCCACTTTCTCTGGATGGCATTAATATGGCCTCTAGTTCTAATGTAAAAAACCTTGGTGTTGTTTTTTGATCAGAATATACCATTTAAACCTCCACATTGACCCTTTCTTCTACATGCACAGTAACAACCAAAAGGAGTTATTTTTTCCACAGTCACCAATGCTGCAGGATGAGATGGTGCAACAAGTAAAGATTTGATGCTGGCTTCCTTAGATAACTTTTACTGATTGGCATTTTTATCTTCTTTTTTTGGCTTTTCCTTCTTCAGGGGTCACCATAGTGAGTCATCCTCCTCCATCTCACTCTGTCCTCACTCCAACTACCTCCATGTCCTCTCTAACTGCATCCATATATCTCCTCTTTGTCTTTTTCCTGGCAGCTGCATTTCTAAAATCCTTCTACCAATATACCTACTGTCCCTCCTCTGGACATGTTCAAACCATCTTAGTCTGGCCTCTCAAGCTTTATTTCCCAGTTGTTCAATCTATGTCTGATGATCTCATTCCTAATCTTATCCATCCTTGTCACTCCTAAGGAGAACCTCAACATATTCATTTCTGCCACTTCCAGTTCTTTCTCCTGTCTTTTTGTCAGTGCCACTGTCTCCAGACCATACAACATAACTGACTCACAACTGTCTTGTAAACTTTTCCTTTGACCTTTGCTGCCACTCTTTTTGCCACAAATCACTCCTGAAACTTTTCTCCATCCACTCCATCCTGCCTGGACTCTCTTCTTCACCTCTTTACCACATTCCCCATTTTCCTGGACAGTGGACCCCAAGTACTTGAAGTCCTGCACCTTTGTGTCCTCTGCTCCTTGTAGCCTCACTGTTCCACCAGCCTCCTTCTCATTCACACACATACTCTTGTCTTACTACGGCTGACTTTCATTCCTCTTCTTTCAAGTGCATACCTGCACCTCTTCAAGTTCTCTTCCACCTGTTCCCTGTTCTCACCACAGATCACAATGTTAGAACACCAAGATCTATGTTCCTCCCTCTTTTGGAAATAAGTGTTGACTACAGCCATTTCCATTCTCCTGGCAAAATCCATCATCTGTCCTTCCTGCTTTCTTTCCTGGACACCAAACCTACCCATCACTTCCTCATCCCCTCTTTTTCCTTCACCAACATGTCCATTCAGGTCTGCTGTGATCACCACTCTCTCTTCCCTGGGAATACTCTCTACCACTTCATCCAGATCCTTCCAAAAATTATCTTTCTTCTCTACCTGTGAAGCATAACGACTGATAGCATTAGACCTTCTTCTTCTACCTTCAGATACATCACCCTATCTTGCACTCTTTTCACCTCTACTACATTCTTTGCCAACTCCTCCTTCAGTTCTGATTGGCATTTTATAATGTAAGTGAAAATTTTTGCACAGGGGCCTCAGAAAATTGTAAAATGGAGCTAAATAAATAAACTCAACTGAAATCTCAGCTTTAACGGCTTGCATTGCATTCATTGCATTCAATTTCTTTTTAGAAGGTTGAGCTAGGCGATTCAAAAGCCAGCCCTTAAATAATCAACCTCCAGGTGACTCGGAGATGACTGAGCTCCGACACTCGATCTCCTCTCTCCATTGGCTGTGAAGTGAAGGTTCATCGTGGAGGCCCTATATGTGATGCTCTGGTTTCTCTGCGGACTCGGATTGCAACTTAATGAGACTGCAGTGACAACAAAGCACAGAACAACGGAACAGGACTGTGGTCAAGCTTGCACTGAGGATGAGTCAAGTTGGACACCAAAGGGTGTCAAGATCAAGTGAGAGATGTGATGGAGGTTTTGTTACATCAAGTGAAAACTCTGGTGATAAAATCTTCATTAAAACATCAACTGGACGTACAGTTGAGTGGTGTGAAGCACCAAATAGTGAATGTAGAAGTTATTACTTTATATTCACTAAACACTGAATTATTTCATGCAGCAATTTAAAATCTGCTTTAGATGGTCATTAAACTGTCATTGACACTGGTTCCCTGGACAGTAATTGATAGAAAATTCAATTCAACCCATTTTTATCACCTGTTGCTGAAAGATGGGTGATAATGTAATAAACTGTCATTTTAACAAACTATCCCATGAACCAATGGACAATTTTAATGCAATTAACCTTTAAAGTAATACCTAGATGTACATCCACAACTGCTTTAACTTGTAGAAGCAACTGAATTCAAGATGGCCGCCACAGATAATCACCCAGAATAGACTCATAAATAAATAGCTAAAAC